TTATATGAAAAGGAGGGAGGATAAGAGCTATTCCTCAATTTGCTGCTTCTTAATGGCCTTTAACAACAACAACAAAAAAATATTAGGTCAAAGAGGTCCATTTGGGGTTATCAAATTTTGGTTTCCTTTAACAATCTCTTCACTGTCAATAGTCACCACGGTTCTAACAAAAGCTTTCTCATACTTCCCCTAGGAGATCCCAGCAATTCATACAGCTTCAAGTATACCTAGATGGTCATGAGAAATTTGGTTGTCTGGCTCTGATTTCTCCTTTGACAATGTCTTTTGATGTTCACATTTATATTTCCAATTGGCTACCAGAGATGCTTACCTGAATACTCTAGACATTTCAAACTTAAAAAGAAAAAACATATATTTTCATGTTACTTATACTCAAAGCTTCACAACTTTTATATTCTCACATATTCTTTATCAAATGACTAATTTGAAGTCATTCTCAAATGCTTTGTCTTACCTCATCATCTCTTTTCCTACCCCCAAGTACAACTGTTCTCTTAATTTTACTGTTGAATTGTTTTTTACATTAATATTGCCCTTCCATCTCCTGGTGGGACTATTATAGTAAGTTCCCAATTGGTCTCCTAGTTACTACCCTCATCTCTAATCTTTCATGTCTGAAATTATCTTTCAAGTCAGTTTCTCGATTAACAAATCTCCAACTTTTCTCATTGCCCTTTTTAAGAAGTCCTTTTTTTTTTTTTGGTTAGGTTGGTTTTTGGTGCTAGGGATAGAACTCAGGTCCTTGCAAATGCTAGGAAAAACTGTACCATTACACCACATCTCCAGCCCACAAAGTCCATTTCCTTAATATGGTATGAAGACCCTTCAATGTCTGGTCATAATCAGTTTTTAATTACTCTGAACCTAGGGCAGTCACTCAGAATTCCTCCCTATTATTTCAAGACCCCATATATTTGATCCTTCTTATTCCCACATTCTTTAGATGAATGACAAAAATCTTAAGACAATTTTGTGGAAAATTTTAAGTTTCCATTTATTTTTAGGAATCAGGATTTTTTTTTTTTTTTACATCTCCAGCCCTTTTAATTGTGAGACAGGTCCAAATTGGACCTGAACTTGCAATCTGTCTAAAGTCAGTCTCTCTGTTGTTTTTAATCTTTCTCACTTCAGAGCTTTTCCTTTGCCGTATTAGCCTCCTTCAAAACAATTATAAGAATTGAAATTAACAACTATATAACTTGTCACCTACATAAACTTCATGAAACCAGGGCCAGTTTCTATCATGTTTACTTATTATTATCCTAGGCACCAAAAAGAGAACAAAAATTATCTGGAGGAAGCACTTGATAAATACTAAATGAATAAAAGATAATAATTAGCCAGCAAATGAATAATCCCCTAACAATTCCTGCTGTAAAGCTTTAAAACCTGGAAGGCAGCATTGGTAGTAATTAAATAAAGTGATTTTTCCAAACTGCAGTGTTGACTCTTTTGGATAGTCCTCAAAATTCTATACTTTCTCAATTTCCGCTCATGAGTTTGATATTTTTCACTTTCTTTTTCCTAATATAATGTTTTAAGCATTTCTTGGATCTTCTGCTTTTCTTCTTGCAAGGAGTTATGTATTAAATACAGTGAATGTATTACTTGAGTGGGTTTTATTTGCTAGACTTACAACATATTTTGTAAATATTTATTGAACTTCATTCTAGACCAAGTACAATGAATCTAAACAATAGATTTATTGGAAAATAGTACACCTTGTATAATCACAGACTTCCATATTTTAAATTAGAAATGTCTAAATAACATTTCAGGGCTCATAAACATGAATGTATATCAAACATCTATTTTCTTCTCTAATAACTGGTAGATTCCGTTTATTCATGAACATTCATGTGTCATGCATTGTCAGCCCAACAGAATTCACCAGATATTTAGAATAAATTTCCCAATAATAATAATGTTAACAATAGTTTTATTATAAATAATATTAACATTATCATACAATCATAATATAAATACATAAATATAATACATCAGATAATATAGATATTATATTATACAACATAAATATATTAAGCTCTATTATATGTAATATATGATTAATATTTCCATTTTATTGTTAATGATAATAAAATATAATTTAAAAATAAAATATAATTAAGAGAAATTATTATTATTGTTGTTATTAATTGTGGTACTGGGGATTGAACCCAAGGGCAGTTTACAACTGAGCTACATCCCCAGTCCTTTTTATTTTTTTTGAGACAGGGTCTTATTAAGTTGCTGAAACTAGCCTCTAACTTATGATCCTCCTGTGTTAGCCTTCTGAGTTGCTGAGATTATAGGTGTGCACCACCATGTCTGGCTTCTCGATATTATTATTATTATTTTGTTGGTTTTTTTGGAAATGGGGATTGAACCCAAGGCTTTGCAAATGCAAGGCAAATACTTTGCCACTGAGCTATATCTTAGCCCTCTCAATATTATTTTTAAATAAAACTTGTCTATTCAACTCTTAGTTTTGAAATAAGGGGAAATACATAGATGATAGAGTATAACTAGATTAGTGTACGATCAGCAAGTAGTACAGATATCCCCCAAAGCTATTTTCCTACAGTTAAATTTTATCTCAGTACTGGGATTTCTTTTTTTCTTTTTTCTTTTTTCGGTGTTGGGGATTGAACCCAGGGTCTTGTGCATGAGAGGCAAGTACTCTACAAACTAAGCTATACCCCAAGCCCTCTTCTTCTTCTTCTTCTTTTTTTTTTTAAACTAGCAATTGAGTCCAGGGGGCACAGAGCCACAGCAATAGCTCATTGTACGTTTTATTTTGAGACTGTATTGCTAGTTTGCCTCACTAAGGTGCTGAGGCTAACTTTGAACTTGGGATCCTGCCTCAGCCTCCCAGATATCTGGGACTATAGACAGGTGCCCTGCTTAGTAGTGAGAAATTTTTAACCTCAAATAATTTTCATTTGAAAATAATATTTTATAATTTTTAGTTAACTTCCAAATGACATTTTATGAAGAAGAAAAGTAGGAAACTGGAACATAATACCACAGGGATTCAAAGTAACCTATATAGTTTCAGAATGAGAAGAAAACAAAATACCTAAGAAAACCATGTTGTTCTGGTTATCCCACTTGGGAAATGTCTGCTAAATTGATTAAAATATTATATTTTGGCAACAGTTGAAGATATACATAACAAAAAAGATGATAAGGATGTTAAGTTTTCTGCTATGTAAAAGATTTTATTGAGAGAAATGACTATATTTTCTATGTTCTTGAAAGTACCTAATGTGAAAATATTACAAAAATACTGATGATGATGATGATTAGAAAAAGGAGAGTAGGCATTAATCTGATTAAAAATTACACAATAAAATAAACTTAAGGTGGGTGCTCAGTTTTGTTGTTTTTATTTATATTTTATTTTTGCATGTACATATGTGTTGCTGGGGATTGAACCCATAATCTCATGCACGTTACGTAAGCATTCTATCACCAAGCTATATCCCTAGGCTAGGTGCTCAGTTTTAAGATGGACATATTTTTTTATATATTTAATTGTCAATGGACCTTTATTTATTTATTTATTTATTTATTTATTTATATGTATTGCTGAGAATTGAACCCAGTGCCTCACACATGCTAGGCTCTACAACTGAGCCACAACCCCAGTCCCAACATAGACATATTTTTTAAATTGACAAAATGATCAGGTGATTTGGTGATTTCCTTAGCAAAGTATTATTGGTAGCTGCTGTCATATTTTATAATTACAGTCTCAGGGACACTGAATTTGTCTTAGTAGTAGAGAAGACCCTTACAGCCCACATTCCCATGAATCACTTCAGTATTTAGCAGATTCCAAGTTAAAACAACAACAAAAACAAACGAGAGCTTCCATAAAATATGTCCCCTTTTCTATCACAAAACCTACAACTTATAGCTCTCCTAGATCCAGATATTGAAGTTTCTCATTATTAAACAATAAAAATAGCCCCAAAGGCCTTCACCACCCTGAAAATTGCTCTGAAGTGCATAAATGTAGATCACAACATTCAGTACTCTACATGATCAATAAATAATGTTAGCTTTAGTAGAAATCATAGGTGTCATCTATTTTGTCTCCTCTTCTAAAGGCTCCAATTCTGCCCCTGATATTCTACTCCAAGGTATTCCCACATATTCCTCAAGCTACAGCAAGATAGAGGCTGTATCTTATTCACCCCCTAATACAACGCCTAGCCCAGAGTGAGACTCTTAAATTTATTTTTTGAACAATGAATGAAGAAAAGGCTAAGGAAACTGGTTCAAAGAACTGGAAACAAGGTCAAGACTGCCTGAGAATCACAGCTCTTGGGAAAAATAAATCTACATGGCTAGTGAGATGAGATCTGTTGTATTAGCCTTGTAGCATCTGGGAAAGTGGCCAAAGTCAGTTATGCTCTAAGCACTAGGGCAAACTGTCTTGTTCTGACTCTTCTTATGGGCTGATAAATATTGAATTTTTTTTCTTAATTGGAGTAGTAAAATCTGAGATTCTGGTAGGAGTCTTGGAGGCAAAAATTGAGCCTACCTTGGTCCTAGGCAAATGAAGTCTACCTAGCAAGGCACTTCTGTAAGATGAACCTAACTCCTAGGATTCTACAAAGAGAGAAAGTATGCATTCATTTTCTGGCCAGTGCCTTCTGCTGTGTGAAAGATAAAATTCAGAAGTTAGTTTTTATCCTATTTCTATTATCTAAAAATATCAAATAGCACCTAACCTTAAGACAAATTGACATGAATTAATCAAAACATGGCTATAGAAATCCAGAAAAAAATTGAGTGATATAAGAATATGGTCACAAAATAAGACTGCAACATCATGAGGCAAAAGTAATGCTTTTAAAAATGACAGTGAAAATTATTCAATTTTTGTTAAAATGAATATTTTATAATTTATAAATTTATAAATAATTTTACAAGGCATAACATTATCATTAATACTGTACAATACTTACACCTTCTCCATATTGCAAGTATCGTTTATTAGTTTCCTGTTTACCAAAGGTCTCCAAAAACTTTTGACGGTAAGCAAGAACTGTATCAACATGTGTTTTGTATTTTACAGCCAACTCCAGGGCTCTATAATGAGAAATAAAACATATTATCAGAATTGCTTATATCAACCTAAAGTTTTTTGTTGATTCAGTCTTAGAAAAAATTAAATAGCCATTTAAATTCTGTAACTCAATATTGATTCATGAGATTAACTTATTTTTAAAGTAATATTTTATTCAAATAGCTGAAGAGACTAAAATGAACCACTGAAAACAATGGTACAATACCAAAGACACAAAATCTATACATAGATGATAATTTGCAAATATAAAACCAGATTAATCCTCACTTCCAGGCTTATTTTCACATGTAGCTTTTGGCCAATGTCTCTACCACAGCAACCCTGTGCATAATACACATTAGTTGAGTCAGGAACAACCCAGCAGAATAAAGCTCTCCTACACTACTTATTTTTAACTTGTTTTAAAGTATGAATAACAATCAGTAAAAAATACATTATTTTTTAAGTTCTCTTATCTTCTAATATGATTCCTAAATATGCAGTAATGATTAAGCAGAGCCAAATATTATAAATCTGTTATTTTTACTTATTTAATTAAAATTTAATTGATAAATACAGACAAAAATTGTATATACTTATGAGATATATGATGTTTCAATACATGTGTACATTATGTAATATTTAAATCAGATTTAAGATTTATCTATGTCTTCAAACATTTATCATTTCTTTTTTTAGTTGTTCTAATTAGTTATACATGACAGTAGAATACATTTGGACACATCATACATAAATGGAGTATAATTTCTCATTCTTCTGGTTGTACATGATGTAGACTCACACTGGTCGGGTAGTCATATATGTGCATAGGATAATAATGTCAGATTCATTCTACTATCCTTCCTACTCCCATACCCCTCCTCTCCCTTTACTCCCCTCTACCTAATCCAAAGTATCTTTGTTCTTCCATAGCCCACCCTTATTGTGAATTAACATCTGCATATCAGAGAAAACACTTATCGTTTTCTTATGGCAAAGCATTCGAAATCCTTTCCTCTAGCTTTTTAAACTATTCAGGTACATTGTTAAATCTATAACCATCCTACTGTGCAATAGCACATCAAAACTTTTTCCTCCTATCTATGACGTAGTGCCCACTGATTAATCAAGAATTTTTTAAAGATTACTGCTGAAAAATATCAAGTATATAAGCAGCAAAGATATGTATAATAAAAAAAATAGATTACAGTTACAAGTCAGAAAAGTAGATGGCTCTGGATAAGAAATAACACCTCAAAATTCTCAAATTCTATAAATAATACATATCTGCTGGGATTTACCTATCCCATAAAGAAATTATTTTATATATTATAAGTTGGGTGGAGAAGTATATAGATGATAATTCATCAGTTTCTACATTAAGAATAACTTACTTTGTATGTCAGGTTTCCTGACATATAAGTCTACTCTTCCTATCTCTCCAAGCTTCCCCCCACCCACCCCCCCCGCAAGTTTCTTAAGTAAATTCACTACTTTTTTCTTCATTGAGTTGGAATGTTTCAGTTCATGGCAATGATCATTCTTCACATACTTCTTGTGCAATTTCTGCACAAATAATTGATCAGTCTGAATTAAAATTTCATGTGAAAAAATATTACCCTTAAATGAGGCTCATTCATAAGATATAACAATCACTTATATATTCTTTAGCTTTTTAATCTGCATCTTTATGTACATATTCAAATTATCAGATAGTCTTCAGATACTCTTTTTCTGTGTTTGTCATTACTCTATTGAGATAATTTCTTCTCATGGGTCTTTGAATAAATAAGAAAAACATGGAATTTCATAGATTCATCAGCATTAGTTGAAATCAAGGAGAATATTAGTGGGTTTTTTTGCCATATATTCTTTATTACTACCCAAAATATGCTACTTTAGCACCATCAGTTGGGAGTGAATCTGATTCTCATGACCTCCAAATTTTATGAGATCACTCACTATTTGTTTGACTCTCTCCTTAAGGCTGTATTCACAGAGCTATAATCAATTCTTACCCAAGTATATAGCCATTGTGCTACTGAAAAATTCTGGGAAATGACTTTGGTTCACTATATATTGGAATGTACACGGACAGACACAACAACTGCTCTGAAGCTGACTAAAAAAAAATGTTATTTTTCCAAATGTGGAAAAAATGCTTAGTAATGAGGAATTTGAGTGATTTGGAATCAGATAAAGCTAAATCTGTTATTTTAATGGATCTTTTTTAAGATTTTTTTTTTAGTTATAGATGGACACAATACCTTTATTTTATTTAATTATTTTTATGTGGTGCTGAGGTTTGAACCCAGTGCCTCACATGTGCTAGGCAAGCATTCTACCACTGAACTACAACTTCAGCACTAAATCTGTTATTTTAGACAAAGATACTTTTGTAACTAAGATATTTTGTGGAGATAGAATTCAGAAGTTAGCTTTTATCCTAACCATCTCTATTATTTATCTAAAAGTATCAAATAACTACTAGCCTTAAAACACACTGAATATTATGAAAACATACAAGTTAATCAAATCATGGCTATAAGAAACCAGAAAAAAACTAAGTGCTATAAGAATATAGTCACAAAATAAGACCACAACATCATGAGGTAACAAGTAATTCTTTTAGAAATTACAGTGTGAAATTTTTTGCAACTTGTGACTCTTTGGTAGGAAAATTTAGTTCATTCTTAGTATGCTTTTATTTGCCCTACTACTAACCAAGCTAATCATTTTAAGAAGCATTTCAAAAATGCTGTATATATTGAAAATTGATAACTGATGGATGTTAAAGACTTAATATGAAAAATAAGAATATAAGTCATGTAAAATAAAATGGTAATGCCAAATAGCATTTCTTATAGAAACATATTGACATATTACTAAATCCAAAGATCAGTATTTGCTATCAATAAAGTTTCCTAATCTCTGATTTTCACAGAAAGAGAGAGTAGGCAGAAAGGAATGTAAAGGCACAAGAACAGAGAAATGACAGAAAGGCAAAAAGCAATTCACAGTAGAAGATAAATGCCTCAATTTTTCTCTCTCATACATAATTCCCTTATTTATCCCTAAGGCTCTGATTTCAGTGGTGTAGCGTAAGTGGAGACTCTGGTGAATCACCCTTTTGGCACATTACTGTCCATGGTGGGGAAAGAGATCTTGACTGTGCAAAACTGAAAGTGTTCTAAGTAAGGATACATAAGAAACCAATCTGTATTATCTATCCTTATTGTCATTACTATTAATTATCTGACTAAGAAATGGCTAAGGTAAACATTGAAATAATAAGTGCTATTTAAAATGTCCTCTAACAGTACACACTGAGTAAAAATGTTTCTTTACCACATTTAGGAGAGAACTTACTCCAAATTATATAAGGGTTTTGGGAACAGTATGTCTCTAGTTTTAAAAATGGTTATTTGGCAACCAAACAAATATGGCATTAGATTGGAATAAATCCATGTATTTTAAATAGAAGGAAGTTATATAAAAAGATGTTAGAACTTTAAAATATGATCTTTATGCTGGGTGAGGTGGCACTATCTAGTCCCAACTACTAGGAAAGCTGAGGGGGAGGATCAATAGCTTGAGCTCATAAATTCAAGAATAGCCTATGAAGCATAAAAAGACACCATCACAAAACAACAACAACAACAACAAAATATGATCTTTTCAATAACGTGATTGAATCACTTTGCATAACTGATAGAACAGAAATTATTTTTTATTAAAGTATCAAAATGGGGGTTGGAATTGTGGCTCAGCGGTAGAGCACTTGCTTCCCATGCATGAGGCCCTCGGTTTGATCCTCAGCACCACATAAAAATAAATAATTGTTTTTAAAAAAGATATTGTTCCATCTGCAACTTAAAAATATGTTTTTAAAAAAGTATCAATATGGTTACCGGGAGCTTCTAGTTTCTACCTCTCTTAACTTCAATTTTTGAAAGGAGATTACCATTAAATACCTAAAATGGATCTCAAACAGGCAAATTGCTTACGTACAACTCTTTTAAGAACTGCTTCTTCGCTAAAGAAAGAAACTGAAGAGGACCTAAGAGGATGGAAAGATCTTCCATGTTCTTGGATAGGCAGAATTAATATTGTCAAAATGGCCATACTACCAAATATGCTAAACAGATTTAATGCAATTCCTATTAAAATCCCAATGACATTCTTCATAGAAACAGAAAAAGCAGTCATGAAATTCATTTTGAAAATAAAAGGCCCAGAACAGCTAAAGCAATCGTTAGCAAGAAGAATGAAGCAGGAGGCATCACAATATCATAACATAAATTATAATACAGAGCCAGAGTAACAAATGGCATGGTATTGACACCAACACAGACACATAGATCAATGGTACAGAATAGAAAAGTCACAGAGACAAAGCCACATAAATACTGTTGTCTTACACTAGACAAAGGCACCATAAGCACACATTGGAAAAAAGCCTCTTCCACAAACATTGCTGGGAAAACTGGAAATCCATATGTAGCAAAATGAAATTAAACCCCTGTCTGTCACCCTGCACAAAACCCAACTCAAAGTGGATCAGGACCTTAGCAATTAGACCAGATACCCTATGCCTACTAGGAGAAAATGTAGACCCAATTTTCCACCATGTAGGCTTAGGAATCAACTTCCTCAATAAGACTCCTAAAGCACAAAAAGTAAAATCAAGAATCAATTAATGGAATGGTATCAAAATAAAAAAGCCTCTTCACGGGAAAGGAAACAATTGAGAACATGAACAGAGAGCCTACAAAATGGGTAAAAATCTTTTCCATCTGCACTCAGAACATTAATCTCCAGGATATACAAAAACCTTAACAAAACAAATTCAAATAATCCAATCAATAAATGGGCTAAGGAAAGCCTTCAGGGACACTATAAGTCAAAAGGGTAAAAAATGTACTACCCAGATCCAAAATAATCCAATCAATGAATGGGCTAAGATACTTCACAGAAGAAGAAATGTGAATGGTCAAAAAAATAAGAAAAAGATGCTCAACAT